GAAAAAATTACATATGAAAGGGAAAAGCTTGCAGTTTATTACGCCGCAAAAAAATTGAGAATATCCTTCTTACTTTCCGAGTTATAAGCCTTTATATGAAAAGTAGTGCGATTTCGGTAACCTTACCCTATGTGTGACTGCGTCTATCATAGGGTATGAGCACAAGGATTGCCGTAACGCTTTACGGCAGTCTTAAGTTGTAGACGTAAATAACGCACAAGCATTGGCGTATGATTTTAACTTATGTATATTGCCATAGGCATTGCCTATCATATCAAAATCATACGCCAATACTTGTGCGTTACTTACGTCTACAACTTAAGATTGCCGTAAAGCGTTACGGCAATCCTTGTGCTCATATTCTTAAGCTGCGTGAGATATTACTGAGGTAGTATAAAAAGACATGTCGATGTGCGGCGCGCGGCGCGACATCTAATGATTTCGTCGGAGCTCGAGCTTTGCTTTAGGATCCCCTTAAAATCCAAAATGATTACTAAAAGTCATTTTTTTGGTCAATCAGGATTTAATTTGTCGTCATTTTGATGTTAATGTGACTTGTTCTACTTTAAGGATGTATTAGACGTACAGCCCCTGCCAAGAAATTAAATTTAGAAGTATATTTAATATTTACACTTTAAATAAACTATATACATATGAAAGTTGTGTGAATAAGATTATATTTGTGTTTAATAACACATTTGTACAGTTTATTTATTTTATTTGTTACTATTTTTATTGTTAAAAATGAAAATTAAAAAAATTATTAAAAAATTTACATTTTTCTTTTATAAGTATTTTAAATATTTAAAATAATTTATGCAAAGTTTCATTGTGATTTACTGATTAGTTGCAAAGATACAGAACAAATATTTTGTTTATTTATTAGACAACTAATTCATGTATCGCAATGTAATTCTACCTAAATAACCTTAAATATATAATGTATTTATACTAAAAAAATTGAGATTTTTAAGTATTTTATAATATATTTTCATATATTTATTGAAGCACAGATAAAAAATACTATTTATTAAAGAATTAGAAAGAGTAAGTGAAAAAGTAAGTTTGTAATCATGGTGAGCGTCCTTATTTTCGGGATAATTAATTATATTATTAAAGTTTTTTGATAAATTAGTTTCTATATTCCTTAATTCGACATTTTTAATATTTCCCTTCTTTTTCACTTTCCTTTTCTTTCTTTTTATTTAATTCTGGCATTGAAATTCTCGATGTAGGTGAGCTCACCATGACAAAATATATTTTACTTTATATTTGTTAGTGTGTGTTTGCTCTGAGGAAGGCTCAAAAATGAGTCGAAACATGTAAGCGCGTTTAGTGAATAAAGAAGTTTCACTCTCTTTATAAGTGTATTATTTGCGCGACGTCTTCTGCGCCTGACTCCTAGTGCCCTTACTCTTTCCAATTCTTTAAAAATATATTTTTGCACGTAATTAGTATTGGGACTTTTTAACAATGTTTGGTAACTTTTTAACAATATTTAATATAATTTCATAGTATATTAATGTAGTAATATTAATGTCTCACTTCAGTAAATCTAATAATGTATGAACTTGTTTGATAAACTATTTATTTGAAGTGTTCGCAGATTTTTCAGACAATGGATTTAATTTTTTTGACATGTACTTTTTGCATCATTGTGATTTTCGCATTTCTGCCGAAAGTGCATCATCATTATGTTATTCGACAGAAACTCAAAAACCTACCCGCACCAGTTATTGGTTCGATATTTAAGTTAATGAGATTATCAGATTACGGTAAAAAACTTTATATAAGATTTCTTCATTATATTTTTATACAGTGCCATTTACATATCTACCCAGGTAGCAAGCTGTCATTATTTTGATGTCAATAGTTAATCATTTTAAATTATTGACGTCATATGACCTATTTAAGATGTAATAATGACGTCATCTTTTTTGATTAATTAATGAAGTCATTTATTTATGACGTCTTTACAATGTCATATTTAATGACGTCGAATAAATAGCTAATTGTGGACGTACTAGTAACATTGTTAGTGATTAATTAATAACGTCATACATTTATTCCGTTAATAACACGAAAATAATTATGTATTTTTGATATCAGTTTATGACATTGTGCAAGTGATAAAAAATATAAGAATTCACGTCATTTTTACGATGTTTAGACATCAAGGAGCTTATTAAAATAAGATGGAAATTACAAAACTAATTGAATTTACTAGAATATTTGTAACTTCAACACCTAACAAATTTGTCCATTTTTGTAATTTTTACTTCGTCTCAGGAACCGTATAGATTCATCATAAAAATAACTAATTAATGACGCCAAATGAACGACTTGCTATCGTCAATAATACGAAAAAATGACGTATTTTTGACGTTGACTTATGACGTTATGTACCTGTGACAAATCCACGTCATTTTTGCGATGTTTGGATGTCATTTTAAACGTCACATTCGTCATAAGAATGACTAATTAATGACTAATTAATGACGTTAAATAGACGACACCTTGCTACCTGGGTATATTCGCACACAGCTCGGTTATCTCGAGGCATCATATTTGTTGTCAATGGAGACGGGAAATGACTCGCGATAAATTAATTGTTACATACAGCTTTATTTTTCAGTTTTTCCTTAAAAATATATTTTCATAATCCCGAAATATGTCAAATCTATGTGGCAAACTGAAACATCTGTTCAATGGGTTACTGTACATATATATAGAAGTGTAAAATATAATTCCTAAAATAATGATACACTTCTCAAATATCTAAAAATACTGCAGGGTTTTGTTATTAAAAAAAACTAAAAAATAAAGTTGTACGTAGCAATTAATATATTGTGTGTCATTTTCCGTTTCTAACATAATTCAATCAATATATTGTTTTAAGATAGCCCGCTCTAAATTTAAAACTTCAATATTTAATTATATATAGTAATTAAATTAATTATTATATAAATAAATAATAATAAATTATTAGTATAATAATTAATAAATTTAATTGTTAGAGCGCACGAAATTGTTTCTAACGATAATGGAGAATTGTAAAGAAGGAATATTCATACAATATATCGGAATCACACCTTATATTAACATATTTAAGCCAGAATACTTGGAGGTAAATAAAATTTATTTACTAATAGAAAATAACATCCGTTATATTTTCTACAATAATTAATACATTATTTAAGCACGAAGAAACAGCATCTTTGTGTACTGTAATGATATAAAACATTCTCGAGCATTTATATAACGACTGCTTTTATAAATTTATTATTAAACGGGTTTTAAAAGTAAAAATTAGAAGAAGAAGAAAAATATTACAGCGAAATCTTTTTATTGTCTCTATTATCTATAATGTGTAGTAATCAAATTTTGTTATTATATACTATTTAGTACATTATAAATATTTATTTTGTTAGTAAAAGAAGAACAGAAAATGTGTGTGCGCTAAAAGTTTTCTTGTGTGTAAATATGTTTAAAAAAATTAACTCTTATTTTTATAAAAAAATTACCTTTATTAAATCGGATTTTACAGCGTCACTGTTAGTATTGTTACTGAACAATAGAGATTTCTTTATTATGATAGCGAAATAACATATAAATTTGACAAAGCTTTTAATAAATATAATTAACCCTAGTAAGTCATTATTTTTGATTACCTTCCTTATAACACCAGGGTTTGTAAAACCCTGCAACTTTGTCACGCTATATCTCTGGACTGAATACGTATTTTTTTATCTCAAAACGTGTGAAATTTATACCTCGAAATCAGACAAAGACAGATAAATATGAATCAAATAAATAATATTTTATCTTCAATTAATTACAATGCTTCAAAGAAATTTTGTTGAAAAAATTCGCAAAAAATGACTACTTTCGATAAAATTTTCAAATTTTTAAATTTAATATTCAAGGAAAAACCCGTAGGATTTTTTTAGTTGACCCTTTGGACTAACAAAAAAATGTAGTACGATGACTCGCTCAAAAAAGTATAACTATTTGAACTATTGAAAATCGACATTTTTAAAATATCTGTACATATTATAAGTTTACAATTAATACAATTATTACAATTAATAAATAAAATGTTATTATTTAAACAATATAAAATGGTAGATAAAGAATTGTAAATGTATAAATATTATTATAGTATGTATAATTAAGTTTATTAAGATTTAGTTAGATTCTAGATGAAGAGCGTTTTCTGAATAAACGTTTAATATCGGAATGCCTTCATATTTTAATGCAACAAAATAGTTTAAATTTACGCTCAGATACAGAAGGTGTACATCGTACCTATATACAATTATTAAAGGACATCAAATAGTTATATATTTTCGATTATACAAACTTTGTTTACGTATCGACATCATCTTCTTCTTTTTCTTTTTATTTTCGTATTTCTTTTTATTTTTGTGATTTGACCTGACATTTCTTTCCCAGTATATTAAATGCATTAGTCATGTTTCGTTCGAGCTGCGAGCAACATACGTTTTTAATTTGATACTTTTTAGTGAATATTAACTGTATTTATTTGATCCAATGTTGAGACGAATTCTTTCTATGTCTTGGGGTGAGTCACCGATTTTATTGTTAATTCGAAACTTGTTCAATATCAATATTTATAAGATAAATTAATGTTTCGAATAGATTATAACATCAAATCTGCTAATCTGATGGTGATTTTTCTTTGACATGAAGGGATTGATATTTTAAATTTGTTTGCTGAAGATGGTTCCAAAGTGAAACAAAACGTACTATTGTTGGAATAAAGATTCTAATTTGAATTGAAGAATTAAGATTGCGTATTAATTACCACGCAGATTCTCATTCGCTCTGGTTTTGGAGTTTTTTGTTGTTAGAGGATGTGTGCAACACTCGCTCCAAAGCAATAAATCCGCCCAGCCGAGCGATCTCCCCCCCCCCCC